CTTAGGTTAAAAGGAAAAAGAAAAAAATATCCCCCTCTAGTGGCAGAAGGCAGAATAGCAGCTTCCCATTAGTTTCTATGGATGAAAAGAGCAGATACGGATTAAATGGTTTTCAATGCATTCCTATGGGAAATGCAGATTCGACTTAAGAACTTTTCGACCTGAGAACTGCCTTCCAATACGGATTAAGTTCGTAAGTCGAGACCCCACTGTACATCTTCGGAGTTAGAAGAGAGAGGTCACCATAACAGACATTTACCATCACAGATATATTTTTCAAGATAACGTACACAACCACTAGAAGAACAAAGGTGCCTCTTGGTGGCAGGTGCTTCAGAATGGAGAAAATTCCATGGCATTGGCCACGTTCTGATTCTTCAAAAGATTTGGGTAAAAGGCCTTTGGTAGGCTCTATAGAATAGAATAGAATAGAATAGAATAGAATAGAATAGAATAGAATAGAATAGAATAGAATAGAATAGAATAGAATAGAATAGAATAGAATAGAATAGAATAGAATAGAATAGAATAGAATAGAATAGAATAGAATAGAATAGAATAGAATAGAATAGAATAGAATAGAATAGAATAGAATAGAATAGAATAGAATAGAATAGAATAGAATAGAATAGAATAGAATAGAATAGAATAGAATAGAATAGAATAGAATAGAATAGAATAGAATAGAATAGAATAGAATAGAATAGAATAGAATAGAATAGAATAGAATAGAATAGAATAGAATAGAATAGAATAGAATAGAATAGAATAGAATAGAATAGAATAGAATAGAATAGAATAGAATAGAATAGAATAGAATAGAATAGAATAGAATAGAATAGAATAGAATAGAATAGAATAGAATAGAATAGAATAGAATAGAATAGAATAGAATAGAATAGAATAGAATAGAATAGAATAGAATAGAATAGAATAGAATAGAATAGAATAGAATAGAATAGAATAGAATAGAATAGAATAGAATAGAATAGAATAGAATAGAATAGAATAGAATAGAATAGAATAGAATAGAATAGAATAGAATAGAATAGAATAGAATAGAATAGAATAGAATAGAATAGAATAGAATAGAATAGAATAGAATAGAATAGAATAGAATAGAATAGAATAGAATAGAATAGAATAGAATAGAATAGAATAGAATAGAATAGAATAGAATAGAATAGAATAGAATAGAATAGAATAGAATAGAATAGAATAGAATAGAATAGAATAGAATAGAATAGAATAGAATAGAATAATGAAGTTGGAAGGGGGCCTATAAGGCCATCCAATCCAACCCCCTGCTCTAGACAGGAATACAAATCAAAGGATATCTGCCAGGGGGTTGTCTAAATTTCTCTTGAATGCCTCCAGGGTTGGAGCGCTCACCACCTCTTGAGGTAACTGCTTCCATTGCCATACTGTTCATTAATATCTTCATTGACTGAACGACGGCGGAAAGAGAGCTGTTGCATGTTGGCGCAGGCAGATTTGGGATGGTTTGTTCCTTCCCGTAGCATGCCTTCTTCCTTTTGCACATCCCTTCTCCCCACAGACAGCAAAATCTCTGCCAGAGGACCGTATTCTGTTCCATAAGGGCAACTGGGACCAGCAGAGTTTCCAAGAGCTCGTTTTTTCCATCCTCCACATTGTTCCAAAATGGCTTTGATGGTTTTTCCCCCTCTTTTTTAAATGGACAGATGTGAAAACTTAGCACCTAGTGACTAGCATTTCCTGTGGTTGTGTAACATCCACTTCTGAGCCCTCTTGACATTAATCCAAGATCACTAATTGATGCCCATACAGGTTTGTGGTTTTAATTCCACCTTGCTTCCTCATCAGAGCCCGCTGAGTTCCTGTTTTTGCAGCTCATCAGGAGTGTAAAGGGTATTATAGTTAAGACCTCGTTCTGTTTTGGAGAACAAGCTTCTCCAGCTATAATATCCCATGTTCCAGAAACTGGGAGAGTTATCTTTTGGCTGAATTCCACCCACCATGGCCAATGGCTTGTGGAAGTTGTAGCTCAAACCAGCAGCTTTTCCCAGGTACATTTCTTTCGTTCCAAGTTTGTTTCAAACAATCAGGTTCTTCCCAGACTCTCCAGTCAGAAGGCAGGCCTAGAGAAAGCTTCAACTGGAATGCATCTGACAGACGACCTACTATAGGACTTAGATGGACCACTGATTTGATTTTATATAAGCACAGCTATACCACAGGAGTCCAACAGACAGTTGAAAAATTACCATATATATGAGAGTATAAGCCAACCCGAATATAAGCCGAGGCACCCAATTTTACCACAAAAAAATTGGGAAAACTTATTGACTCGATTATAAGCTGAGGGTGGAAAATGCAGCAGTATAAAGGAGGAAGGTGGGAGAAGGAAGGTGGGTACATAGAATATGCAGAAGGAGAAGGATGGGAGTGTTCTGGAAGTGGAAATGTAGTGTACTTAACCTGGATCATTGGACCACCCACAGAGGCTGCAGGCGCCCGTAGATGAGCGGGGAAGTCCAGAGAAGACCCGCACTGCAGGGGAGAACATGTAATTTTGACACTGACTCGAGTATAAGCTGAGGGGGGATGCTTTTTCAGCAAAAAAAAAACGTGCTGAAAAACTAGGCTTATACTCGAGTATATACAGTATTTGAGATTCTAAGCATTTTGGATTTATGTTGAAAAGGGGAGGGGGAGCCCAAGTTTCTAGTCCTTATGGCCGAGATGATATGCATGACAATCTGTGGTCACTGAGCAGTATCTTTTCTGAAATCTCAGAGGTCAGTGAATTGTCAATTGCTTTTATGCTCTGCATCTCCATCCCTGTGACTTAATAAAGTCAAAATATATATGGCAGTGAAAATTACAGGTGTACACACACAACTGCAAAAGTGAATTGTGTAAAGTTTCTCAGTTTGCACAGTGCATGCAAATGTCACTTTTTTTTCTGTCCTTTTATTTCGTTTTGATTTCCTAATTGGAAATGGCTAAATAATTGGGAAGAAACACAATCCTTTGCCTTTACAAGGAAGATGGATTGCTATTACTGCCATTCCTGACGTTGGCCAAACTGGCTAAGTGTTGATAGAAGTAAAACTCCGTTGCCATCAAAGGGGGTTACAGGTTCTCCACTCTTTGTACCTATCCCTATATCCCATATTTCCGGTGAAAAATACTCCAGGTCAGGGAGAAATCCAGTGACATTTCAGAACATTCTAACTGACTATGCCCAGCAGTGATCCTTTTCCATGCCTTCATTGTTCTCTTGTGAAAAATAAATCAATCTATGTCATTTAAATTTTCTGCAGTGGGAAGAAGTCAGTGGCTATGACGAAGCCATGAACCCCATCCGGACGTACCAAGTGTGCAACGTCCGGGAAGCCAGCCAAAACAACTGGCTGCGGACCCAGTTTATTGAGCGCCACGACGTCCAGCGTGTTTACGTGGAGCTGAAGTTCACCGTGCGGGACTGCAACAGCATCCCCAACATTCCAGGGTCTTGCAAAGAGACTTTCAATCTTTTCTACTATGAGTCCGATGCCGACTCGGCCTCGGCCTCCAGCCCCTTCTGGATGGAAAACCCGTATATCAAAGTGGATACAATTGCCCCCGACGAGAGTTTCTCCAAGCTGGAATCCGGACGGATGAACACCAAAGTGCGCAGCTTCGGCCCTCTTTCGAAGAAAGGTTTTTACCTAGCCTTCCAGGACCTGGGAGCTTGCATGTCACTCATCTCTGTCCGTGCCTTCTACAAGAAGTGCTCCAGCACCATTGCGGGCTTTGCCGTGTTCCCTGAGACCTTGACGGGCGCGGAGCCGACCTCTCTGGTGATTGCCCCGGGGACCTGCATCCCCAACGCAGTGGAAGTCTCCGTGCCTTTGAAACTCTACTGTAACGGTGACGGAGAATGGATGGTACCAGTGGGAGCTTGTACCTGCGCGGCTGGGTACGAACCAGCCATGAAGGACACCCAGTGCCAAGGTAAGCGATGGCCTCCTGTTTTGATTTCTCTTTGCTGTCGTTGAGGGCTAGCCAACCGCCCAAAGATGGGGTGGGATGTTGGTCCAGACCTTTTGGCGCTCGAAATGGAAAAATTTCACCTTTCCGTCTGTGTTGGATATTCATTTATTTATTCATTTATGCACTCTCTGGGTGGCATACAACAAGACATATGCAGGGGGAAAAAATTAAGTACAAGCAATATACAAATACAAATCGACAGACAGAGATCTCTTTTGTGAATATATTTGATTTTTCTTCCTTTTACCGGAGTTTGGAAAAATTGCTGTTTTGGATTGCAGGTCTCTGAATTGCTGCCCACCACCACCACCAGAGTCATCATAGGCATTGCCTGTGATGGCTTGAGGAAATTCTACTTAAAAAAGAAATCCCCTTCAATCTCTAAAATGCATAATTGCCATCAAAGCCAGCTGCCTTGCTCTGCTTCCTGACGGTATCCTATGCATAACTTTGGTGCTAGCCTCTGGGCTTCTGTGCGATGGTGTACATCAGTGGTTCTTAACCTTGGGTTATTCAGATGTTTTTGGACTGCAACTCCCAGAAGCCTTCACCACCAGCTGTGCTGGCTGGGGTTTCTAGGAATTGCAGTTCAAAAACACCTGAGTAACCCAAGGTTAAGAACCACTGGTGTACATGAATGCAGGCAGCTACTAGTAGCAGTAGGGAAAGAATCAGGGTTAACAGAAATGGAAAAGAGAAGGGTTCTAGGTTAGTGAGGGCTTGAGGGCTGTCTTCAAATCCTGCTTAGGACCTCTTTATTGAGACGATTTAGTTCAGAGGTGCATGATAGGAATGGAGCTGGGTTTTCCTGTGTTGGCTGAAACTTTCCAGATTTCAGTGGTGAGGTAACCCATCATTTCTGGCTTTAAAAAAAAAAACAGCATCAAAACATAATTTGAATAGTGCTTTAAAGAAAGATAGGTATGTGGTTGTTTTTATCTGATTTTTAGAAGATTGGAGAAATGTGACAGTTTTAATAAGAATCGTGTGTGTCCTCGTTGAGCGAAATCTGATTTAATTTGTAAGATCTGATTCTTATGAGCGGGAGGCTGTATTGAATTTGCATAAAAGTAAAATGCAATCTTTTGCTTTAAATAAAAGGGGGGGGAAGGATGGTAATTAAACTGGGAGTCAATATGGCTCAGGTTTATGGAGAAGCAAAGCGGAAAACCAAACCACCAAATTTAGATATTTGGAAAATAGCTGAGGTCGCTTAGCAAAGAAAGAAAGGGCTTTCTGTATATGTTCTAAAACACTGTCTTCAGGGCT